AAAAAAAAATAAATAAAATTCGTCCTACAATATCAAGCTTATATGCATATAGGAAATTTATAAACCGATCAAATAAATTATAAACTGACTTATAGTTCTTACCACACACACTCATATAAGGTCAAACTCAAGCTAGAACAACATTGCATAAATATTGATCCTAATTTGATCAAACCAATGCTAGACTTGGCTAGACTCGTTCGCAGCCCTAGCAAAGAGTTGCTCTTATTCGAGCTTGGCCGGAATCTAAAAGTTAAAACCCGGCCTAAACACCAAGCTGGTCGAACTAGCCCATTGGTTGGGAAGAATTTCCATATGATAACCACATACATATTACACAATCTCTATATAGCCCATCATATCTCTTTGCAGCTTGATGGCAGAAATGCTAATAAGTTTTACCAAGAACAAAGATACAAACATGGACTAAAAAGATTCCACATCACTAATACAACATCCTAAAACACGGCAAACACGGATTAAGGCCCCTATAAAGTCTAACCATGTATTTAATGCAACAGACGAGCAAGGAGAGATTGCCCAAGCGAAACTCAAGAAACACATGACCATACGAAACCACCTTGCCCAACGAACACAAGGAAAAAATCTAATTCTACAGCTAAAAGAACACAATCACCTTCAGGTCGTGCATCCATAAATAATCATTCCAATTACTGCTCCTTCCAAATCCGACCGGTGACCCTGAGCTTCAACTCTTTCCTGTCTCCACCTGAGAAAAAGAGAGCCATATTACGTTGAATGATAAGTCCGTCAAAACTGTCACGGACCTTCCGGTGACTGTCCCTGATGCTTCTGGGCACGCCTTGCCATATCATTTTCCTCCCATTGCCCCCAACCTCGAGGCTATAGCTGTAATTTTTTGCATCGTCATCATCACCCATGAAACGTAAGAAGGCTATGTAGACAGGAGCCATCCCGAGCTGAAATGCCTCGAAATGCAGGCAGAAGTACTGCCCGAAGCAACTGAAAACCTGATTTAAATTTTGAACATTATATGTAAAGATAATAAAAAAAAAAAAAGAAAAAAAAACGTTAGCAGTGTGTAGACAAGAATTGTCGGAATTTCCATGTCAGATGGAGTCCAATTGTGTCAAGTTTTATTTTCCGCATAAATGAAGAACAGCAACGGATGAGGAAATTATGATTATGAAATTCTTGATATACTTTATTTAATGGATATGTGGGTGTTTGGACATGCCATGTATTTTAACACTTAAACTCAATTCGACACAGCATGGATATTTATTCCTCAATGACTAACTTGCTACTTTCAGTAATATTTAATGCTTCTCTCTCTCTCTCTCTCTCTCTCTCT